GAGGTCACCTCTAAGCCTTCTCTTCTCCAGACTAAACAACCCCAGCTCCCTCAGCCTCTCCTCATAGGACTTGTGCTCAAGTCCCTTCACCAGCCTCGTTGCTCTTCTCTGGACCCGCTCCAGCACCTCAATGTCCTTCCTGAACTGAGGGGCCCAGAGCTGAACACAATACTCAAGGTGTGGCCTCACTAGCACTGAGTACAGGGGCAGAATCACTTCCCTGCTCCTGCTGGCCACACTGTTCTTGATGCAGGCCAGGATGCCATTGGCCTTCTTGGCCACCTGGGCACACTGCTGGCTCATGTTCAGCCTCCTGTTGATCAGCACCCCCAGGTCCTTTCTGCCTGGCTGCTCTCCAGCCACTCTGTCCTCAGCCTGTAGCGCTTGCATACAAACACATGTGTGCACACACATGTTTCTGTAAGAGGGATCTTGTGGTTACTTTGCAAATTTTATGGGTTTGGTCTTCAAAGTCAAACTATTAGTGTTTGTTTGGAACCACAGGACTTCTATTTTGTTTAGAAAATTTCCCCAATACATTTGTTTTCATTCTAGGAAAAAGGGGAAGATGGATTACAGTAAATGTAGAGAATTATTCTTTTTCTAGGTTTTGAAAATATCAGCATTAACTAAAATTTCATTAAGTCAGTCAAATGTATTTAGCTTCTATTCCTCAGAAATTAATAGTTTGGGAGATTCGGGGTTTTTTTTCGATAGAATATTGTATGCTTATGCATGTGTTGAGTGTATGTATATGTCTTATTAACAAAATGAAATTATTTCAGACAGATTAATGAAACTGTTCTACCTAGACTAAAAAAACATAGAAGAAAGCTTGTCTATGGAGTTGTGTTTTACCATATTTCTGTTCAAGGGTCTTGTTTAAAAATGTATTACAGAATCTACTTGATGCACTTCAGCTGGATCCTGATGAAACAAAAAAAGTACTTGCAGAAAATAATAGAAAAATAACTGTTTTAAGAGTTAATGAAAAATCACTAACAAGACAGTGTACCACTTTGCTTGAAATGGAACGGCATCTTAGAAAAGAAAATGAGAAACTAAAGGGTGAAATAACACATATGGAGACTGCAGTTATAGGGAAGATTGGAAACTTGCAACGATTCAAGGTATAGTTAATATTTTTATTTTTACAATTTGTGAATAAATAACTTTCTTTTTAAATGGAGTTAGCACGGTTTTCTTGAGTGAATTACCCAAAAGCTTGCTAATTGCTATTATAAATCTCATCAAAACATTCTTTGTATTTAAAAAGCATTGTGACCCAGACAGACTCGAGAAGTGGGCCCATGGGAATCTATGCAGTTTAACAAGACCAAGTGCAAAGTGCTGCATCTGGGTTGGGAAAACCCCAGGTCTCAATCCAGGCTGGGGGATGAACAGATCGAGAGCAGCCCTGCTAAGAAGGATTTGGGAGTGCTGGCAAATGAGAGGCTCGACATGACCCAGCAATGTGCACTTGCAGCCCAAAAAGCCAGTTGTGTTCTGGGCTGCATCAAAAGCAGTGTGGCCAGCAGGTCAAGAGAGGGGATTGTGTCCCTCTACTCTGCTCTGGTGAGACCCCACCTTGAGTACTGTGTCCAGGTCTGGGGTCCCCAGCACAGGAAGGACATCAATCTGCTGGAGCGAGTCCAGAGAAGGACTCCAGAGAAAGGCCACTAAGTTGATTAGAGAGGTGGAGCACGTCTCTGATGAGGAAAAGCTGAGAGAATTAGGATTCAGACTGGAAGAGAAGAAAGCTTCAGAGTGACCTAATTATGGCCTTCTAGTAGCCATAGAAGGTAGCCCACAATTCCAGTACCTAAAGGGAACCCACAAGAGAGATGGAAAGAGACTGTTTACAAGGGCATTCAGTGATGGCACAAGGAGGAATGGCTTTGAACTGAAAGAGGGCAGGTTTAGATTAGATATTAGGAAAAAATTTGTTACTGTGGGGGTAGTGAGGCACTGGAACAGGTTGCCTGGAAGAGTTGTGGATGCTCCATCCATGGAAGTGTTCCAGGTCAGGTTGGATGGGGCTCTGAGCAACCTGGTCAAGTGGAAGGCGTCCTTGCCTGTGGCAGGGAGATTGCAATGAGATGACTACTTCTTCCAACCCAAAGAATTCTATGATCATCTTATGAAACTTGTTGATTTTTCCTTTCTGCAGTTGCTTTAAGAAGTTATTTTTGTTGAAAATGTCATATTGAAAACAAATCTTATTCTTTGGCCTTGCAGTTGCTAGGGCCTGTATTAACTCAATTTTATAAAATATGCCTTATCATAGAGAGGCAGCTGTTGATAAAATTACCCAGAGAGTTGGAATACCAAAGAAATTTTGTCATTGTTTATTGCAGGCAATTTTTAAAGATGAATGGTAATTTAAGAACATAAACCCATGTCTAAAGCATTATATTAAGTAATGTTCTTTTTACGTGGAGTAATTTTATATTTAGAGATGTAGCTTATCCATTTTATTAACCCATTGTGTTGGTTATTTTCATAGGAAATGGCTAGCTTTAAGATTGCCGCTCTGCAAAAAGTGCTGGATGGTAGTGTGCCATTGTCTGAGCTAGAAGTGGCTAATAAGCAGTACAATGCATTAACTGCTAAATACAGAGATATGTTACAAAAAGATAATTTGCTTGTCCAGCGGACAACAAACATGGAACACTTGGAGGTAATGTTTGTGTTACATTTGAGTCCTAAGGGGGAAAAACTTATTATATATTCATCTTGCTTTGGTTTTTGTTCTCACTTAAGAGGAAGATAGAACAGAAGTCAAGCACTAAAACTGCTGGTTAGAACAGTTTCACAGTAAGTATGGGATGTTTGGGCCAGTCTGACTGTTGTTATTGAATTTTAATTGGATATCCTGGTGCATGGATTTGATATTCATGGACAAAAATATGCAAAGTTCCAGATTTTATCACAATGGGCAGACATAAAAGCATTTTGTTAATTGTTTTGGGTTTTTGTTTTTTTGTTTACTTGCTTGTTAAATTAAGCTTTGGGTATGTTCCCTCAGAAATTATTTTTAGTTTTTTGATTACTGAAGCCTGGCTGGCAGAAGGAATATTTGCTATCATCTTCAGTTTTGGAGGTCATACGGAAAGTTGAATGAATGTAAACAATTTCAAAACTTTCTCTCAAATTTACTAATTCTCAGTTTTCACAAGAATGAAATGTTCAGCTCCAAGAAAGAGTAAACTTTGGAATTTGACTTCAATAGAAAAAAAAAGATCAAGGATCACTCACAATGTGCTTGCAAAATGTTGTAGGGACTTGAAATATTTAACTTTTCCTTTGAACTTTTATTTTGAAGTAGAAGTTTCTTTTTATGAATTGTGAAATTGGCTTCAAAGATGTATTACTACCTCCCACTTTAATGGGTGGTAATGAGTGAATGATTCCTTGTCTATTTTATGGAATTTTGTGTGTATGAAAACTTGCGTTTCCCATTTCAGCAATTTTGTAGAGCTAGAGAATCATTTATCAACTAAAAACGTATTTAGAAAACTTAAGATTGAAAATAAGGAGTTGTCTTTGTTTTACTGGTTAATGTGGAAATCTGTGTTTCTATTTGGAGAAGTGAAGGAACATTTACAAAACTAACGTTTGGCATCATATTAGAGGCCTAAAAGAAGCGTATGATGAGTCTCAAATATGTATTTATGTGCAAGATGAAGTATTGTGTGTGGGATGCAATATCCTCCAGAAGTACTTCTTTTTTCCCAACTAATAACAAGGTGTTTAGTATGACAAAGATTTCTTCATCTAATTCTAGACACTGTAGGAATCCCAGTCACTGGTAATAAATGTTCACAGTATTACTAGTTGGCAGTAAGATAGAACACAGCAAAGACTTAACATTTTTACACTTAGGAGGAAACATGCTCTTCTGTTGCCATATATGTAGGTTATGGGTTGTACGTAGCTAACATCCGTTAATCTGAAAGATTTCATAGATACTAAACATGAAATCTGCTACAATTAAATAGTTTGGAGTTATGCTGCAACTTTTCTATTACACAGCATGAGAATGAATCCTTGAAAGCACAGATAAATTCACTGAATAAAGAATTGGAGATCACGAAAGAGAAACTTCATACTGTGGAACAGGCTTGGGAACAGATGACTAAACTGGGCAAGTATGAAAGTTATATTGCAACATTAAAACTCAAATGGTGTATTCTTTATAAAAAAAATATTTGAAAATGTTTTAAAATGGATGTATCTTAAAATAACCAAAATAAAAATCAAAACTATTTTATATCTTTCGGTAACGGTCCTTATTTTTTTGGTGAATTTTTTTATTTGCATGTCTCATTTTACTTATCTGTTTGACTAAAACCAAGTTTAATATTTTCCTATGGAAACTCTTGCACTTTAACTTTTCTTGGGTCACTGGATCAAGGGTTTGAAAGCAACATGACCTGAATTTTTTTTCTTAATATGTTCTGACTTGATTGTCAGTCGTAGTACTTCAGAGGTCGTCAAGAAAGTGATTTATTTTTCTTGTTTGGATACTCTGTAACAAAACATTTTTTCTGAATGGCTGGGGCTTGTTTGTATATTATTCAAGAAGAACTCATTCACATCTGTTTCTTTTACATATTTTAAATTAAAGTTCCTGAAGATTTACCAGCTGAATTAAGGATAAAGTGAAATGCTACGTTGAAAATAGTTATCAGTTTCAATAACCACGGTTGCAGATATATGCATTTATTATTGATAGTAGTATTTCATTCAAATTAGATACTTCTCAAACATGTAATAAGGCAAGATAACCATACCTCCAGTTTAAAAAAATAATACAGGTGTTTTTATGAAGTTTATCTGGCACAGATAAAGCTCATGTTCAGTTTTGTAGTGAAAATAACTTTCATAGTTGAATCAGCTTCTGTATTCCCTAACTTTAATTTTTTTTCTTGTAGGGGATGACAGTGCCATGGACAAGGCCACAAAAGCAATAACCAACAGT